AGATTAATAAAAACATCTACCCAAACAAACCAGCCTGAATCATATAAGCTGGAATTTAAAAACCTTTGCATTTTCAAAGTAATTACTCTAGCTCTATGTGACTAGCTCTATGAAGAATTCCTGAAGGTAGTATCCTTTTAGATAGAACAAATGTGGCTTTTTCCATGAAAAAGCTAATGGTGGAATAACAACATGCATTGGTTTTGCATTTGATTAAAATTAAATAATTATTTTTCTTTGCAGTTATATGCAGTGAAGTATGTTTTCATGTATTATACAGAGCAATTTTGTTTTAAAAACCCACAGACTTAAGTTCTGCTCTTTGAATGAAGAAAACACAGTATGTTTAATACTTGCCACCATTTTTTTTTTCATTTTGCTGTTTACATTTTTAGTGTGGACCTTAAAGAGCTGTAAAAAAAAAGGAGCATTAATACTGCCGTTTTGCAGAAGCTCAAGGTCATGCAACCACAGCAACTGGATCCGCATACAAAATGTCCTGTCTTTGTTCTGACCACTAGCTTGCACTATTTCCAGCCACCAAGTAATGGCATTGAGATATCAAAGTATGATGGGCTATTCTGTCTAAATGACTCTGTATCTATCAGTAATGTCCACCCAGGCATATTAGAATGCATGTATACTTTTAAAGTACATCTACAAAAATTACTTCTTACCAAGAAACAGTGTTTTCAAAGTATACCGCAATTGTAGTGGTTGTTTAAAAATTAATCTATAAAAATAAAAAGTACATATAGATAAAGTCAAGATTTGGAATATCTTCCATGAAAGACAGCAAACGAGCAGTTAAATGCCTCTTATTATCCCACTAAACAATACGTAAGAGAAGGGAATAAACTGCAATAGCACATTACTATTGTATATAAAATCAATTTCTTCACTCAGCTTCTGTTGTGTAAACAATTTATAATAATGAGAAATAGAAAACAGAAAGTTTATGTGGGAATAAAGGTAAATTGAAGCCTATAATGAAGACTGTGGAGGTTTAAACTTCACAGAGCAACAGCATGCAAATTAGATTTTTTCATTTGTAGGAAACTGCCCACAAAATTGTACTCTGAAAATCTTCATAATATCTGAGTTCTCAGTTTTGAATACATTGCAGTTTCTTCTTGAGTTTCAGTTTTACTGCAAGCTTTGGAGTGTATTTCTATTAAGCAAAATGATATACTATACACTCTTCATCTTTAAAAGCCTGCTTACATTTGTTCTTAATAATATTAAGAGATGTTACTCAGGCTTAATAAAACCTTTTAAAATATTTTAGCATATTTGTCTCATGAACAGTCTTTTTTATGTTTTCTGTAGTCTTAGCTTCTCAAACTCCGCTTCTATCTCTAGAAACATATTTTAGGTCTTATTAAGAGCCAGAAAAGTCAAATCAAACGTATTGTGCCTTTTTTGACTAAATAACTAAGTTTTATAATTAATGATAACTGTATAATCAATGTAATATAATTAAAATGCTGAAACAGTGCAATATATACTGACTGAAAATTGTATGCTTCTGAGAGCATCCTCCACAGCTATCCCTTTTACAAGTGATAGAAATACAAAGTTGTGTGATTCACAGCAATTACAAGAAACCAGAAAATATTTCAGAATAATGTATGCCAATAATTGAAAAGTTACCATGCATTCAAACAGTTTCACTTGCAGATTAGACAGCCTTAATGCCAGTTATTAAAACTATGGTTCACACAGGTAATTGCGGGTTTGGAATTCAATGGAATAAAATAAATGATTTAATTAATTTTATTTCTCATATATTGCAAAGTGCATTAAATTGTTCCTTTAGCAAATTTTTTTCTAATTAGCATAAGAACAATCAGTCATAATATAAAAGCGTAATGGTGAAGAAGTCTTAAGGAGCCGCATTTTATTCAGTAATGAATAGCTACATAAACAGTTTCCAATCATCAGGAAACTAGAGGATTTAGGAATGAATAAAACACTTCGCAATTATTCATCAAGTTTTGGATGACTCTTTTCAGTTACAGTATTTCTCGGAACTGAAGCTGGATCTGCTTTTGCAATTGTTAGAGTGCCCCAGGAAGACCTTGTGCCGACAGAAGTACTTGTAAAGCAGAACTGCCTTCCCTTCCTATCCTCCCCACAAGATGCTGGGTGAAAGGGTGAGTGCAGATTTCCACTCTTCGCTCGTGCTGAAGGCTTTGTGCATTTGGATGACACGTAGATGTTGGTAGGGGTTACATTCTGTCTCGGAACAGGATTCTTTGGTATCTAACAGGACTTTCGGTCATTATTAATCATAAATTCAAAAATCTGATAAAACTGAAAAGAAATTTGAGGAATTAAAGTATAAAAAGTCATCTGCATAAGATGAACTTTCACTGAGAATTATTTGGAAGTCTGAAGCAGAACAAATACTGTGTGTCCTTGTTAAGAGTCTTCAGACTTAAGAATTTGTTGTTTGCAACTATTTATAAAGTGAGAATCTAAAATTAGGCCTCATGGCCACTTGAAAATGACTTTGGGTATAAGTAAATAATAATGGCAAGAGCTTGTTTTACACCCTTTGTGACTGAACTGTGTTATTTTCCTCTGGGGAGGAAATAAACAGTTGTTTTAAACATGAAAGTTTTTAGTTTTAGTGCATTTACACTAAAACTATCTTTTTATTAAAGACTATTTAAGAATTCTTTTTAGTTCATAGGGAGATTTCAGAGGGAAATATTAAAGCCTAGTCTTTCAGCTGAATAGCAAGATTTTTCACTGTTATCTACACAGGAATTAACATTTTTTTTCCAAGTTTCAGCTTTGAGAATGGTCTTTAATGTCTAGGCTAAGCTATTCGCCTAATCTACTGCTTAAATTAAGAGAAAAAGACTCCTTAGTGACAATGCATTCAAGCTATCTTAAGAGAGGATGAATCTTCAAACGGTATATTTTGTTTTCTTCATCAAGAGTGGCTGTATCACAGCTTAATTGAACATCAGGCTTTTAGGAGGCTACAGTTTGGTGAGGAAATTCTTGTCCTAAATACCACCTTAAATCAGGAAAACAGGGTTTTCATTACTTGATTTTCATCACCTATAAGCAAGGTACCTAAGCCAAAATGGCTTTTTAAGTCCTCTTTTTAGTCAACGAAGATAGATACCTTCAAAAGCTAACAGATGAGACTGACCCGCACCTCCACTGTCTCTAGAGCAGAGATAACATTAAATTCAACATTAAACTTCAGACAGGAAAACCAGGAGATGGAGTTAGAAGAGCATTTAGTGAGTTTGAACTTTATGCCCATTCTTGTGGAGGTTGATGTATTTCTTCTAGGAGAAAAAAAATCCTCACAGAAGTCCAAAAAGAAGGAACAAAATTAAAAATCGAGGATAATTAAGAACTGAAGAACTGTAGTTTACCATGACAGCTCTTGTGATCTCTGAAGGCAAGAATAAGGATATTCTTGTTCAATGGTAGTTAACGAATTATTTACTGAATTTAGTGGTAATCAATATAATCCAAAGAACAAAAAGTAATCTCTGAATTCTCGGTTTATTTCACTCTTTTAAGAAAGCATCTATTTAGAGTCTGTCTTAATGTATTTTTCAAAAAAAAAAAAAAACCAAACAAACTAAAAGATCCCAAACATTTTGAAGTAATGGTACAGACTTCTATAAATCTGAAATTCCACATTTTTCCATGACTGTCAATTCTGTCATATTATCTTTCGTATTACTATTTTCCATTAAAAATGGTACTGTTTGCAGACTGAAATACTAAAATTGCCTTGGAGAAGTTAAAGTAATGTTGAAAATCCAGAAGAGATTGGAGATTAATCATACATTATGCATTCAGAAAGCTTTTTTCCTCTGCATTAAAGCAAGTCTGAAACTGGAATTGAACAGTACAAATCATAGTCAAAAATTTACAATACTGGTCCATTCAGAAATTCATAATGATTCAGAGAGTCAGATGCAGTATCTTCTAAGAATGCAGTGTAAAGAATTTCACTATGTTCTCTTAAGTGCACAAACTTTCCAGAAAAAAAGATTAAGATGTGACATTTTTTTCCCAGATAGGGAGGACGAACTAACTTCTTGCCAATATTAAATCACAATATTTTTTCTCTTAGCTATTAGTTATTTTAACTATATTGTCCTTGCATTTTGATTATTTGTTATATTTTAAAATAACTTAAGGTGATGGAAATGTCTATCTGGAATTCCTTCTGCCAGTTCCCCTATAAACATTATAATCTTTAGCTAAAAAATAAATTATTAAATACATTACATATAAAAAATAGCTTCTATATAATGCTTTGTCACAGTCTTTCCTCAGTGGTACATCAGAAATTCTCATTAATGTTTCCCCAATAATGTATAGGAGTTCAATTTTGGCCCAATGACTTTCCATTATCTGAATTGTTTTAGTAAAAAAAGATAAATGACCTATTATACTACAAGTGAATAATTTGCTTCTTTGTTAACAAAACAGATTTCTTATTCTATCTTTCATGAGGAATAGAAACTCCACCCTTCTTGTATTTTAAGTCATGGGATATATTTGTTTAAGCAAGAAAAATGAGATTAAATGAAACTACCTTCCTTTTGAATTTAGTATTACACATCTTTATATCAAAATCCAATTTAGAACAAGGTTAAGTAGAATAAATATAGATTCTCATTGCTTTCCTCATTTTGCCTGTTGCTGTTCTACTGATTTCAACTGACTGGAGCATTTAGCTGGGTGGGAAGCAAGGTAAATGCAGAAGGAACTGTAAATGTATTATCATTGTCTTTATTTAGCTGCACCGTTAAACCATATAGAAAAAAATGACAGTGATTCGGTAATTTTGATAGGCCGAGACCTCACTTGTAGTACAATATTCATTGACCCTGAAATATATAACGTGAAGTAACCTCAAGATACACAAGATTATGTGGGGAACAAAATATCAAGTTCACATAATGAGGCTTCGCATTTAAATTACGCAAAAATCCAAGATATTTTGAACATACATTAGGGCAGGATATGGTCCTTTGAATGTTATTCTCAATGCTCGTACCAGCAGCAACCGTCATCTGAAAAAGGGGGCAACAGAAATTCCACTGAATGGAACAGAAATTTGTACAGTGCTACAGTATATTTAAATTACACCACGCTAAGATGAATGTTATTATCATTCAAGCAAGCTGATCTAAGAGAACAAAAATGTGATTCAACAGAAATTCAGACCGAAAACCTGAAAGTATTGTTACATCTCCCGGCTCAGGAGGCGCTGAGAATAACCAAACAGTAAGTCACTTTGGTGTTCTGTACTGTGTTCACAGAAGTCAACTCTGAAGCACTGTCAATCAGACAACTATTCTGAAATAATTATAGCTCCATGGCTGAATTTATTCTCAGATCGCTACACAAAGCAAGAGGTTTACTTGTTTGTGAGGTTTGAAGAAAGTAGGATCTTCTCCCCTACGTTAAAACATCTTATGGAAAGATGTCAAAAGAAGTAAACCTATTCAATTATTAGGTAGAATTTACTTATTAAATTGATAAATTTTTCATGTTGTCTCAGACTTCTCTGTTGCTTCAAACAATCATAAGAGTGGAAAAATAGTAGGAAAAAAGCTACATGCAGTTAAAAATCTGGAAGATCCTTCAGCTATCTGAAGAATATACTTTAGCATTGAATGTTATTTTTCCTCCTTTTTCATGACTTTTTCATTTGTTTTTGCAGAGCCCAACATACAACGTTCTCCAACTAGTAGGCAATCTGACTAGATGACATTTCTTCAGCTTTCAATATTTACTTCAGAGGAAATTAACAGAAGTTTTCAAAAAGATCTAGAAGTACATTTTAAACATCTTGTTCAATCTATCCCGACCGTCATTTAAAAAAAAAAAAACAAAAAACAACAAACACAGTTCTAGACTAAATCTCTAAACAATTTATTTCTATTGTTGAGAGCATATGTAACAATACTTACAATGTTCATGCTCATTATAGTTGAGTTTCATCATCTCTCAAATTAAATATTGACCTAAGCTTTATTTCTGTGACTGTTTACTAATTCAATTCAGTAAACCTGGTATTCAGCACTGACAAAAAGTATTTTTGGATTCAAGTACTTTTAATACAATGATATAACTTTTGGAAAATACAACATATTGCAAGATGTGTTTTATGATAACTTTACTGTTATAACTGATGAGGAAGCTAAGTCTGACTGTATATTATAACTTACTTTTGTAGCAAACAAAAATGTGCACATTATAAAGTATATATAATAACCACCACAGGCATGTATCCATATTAATCTATCTACAAACTACATATTGCCAACGAACTTCACATTCTGATTTGTAAAAGGTTTTAAATATTTGAAGTAGTTTTCAAATTTCAGTATTTTAAAGGAGAATCATGCTATTAGTGGTAACAAAAAGAGTAAATCTTTAATTTTAAGCAAAACTCTCCATGTACGCTGGCAAGTTCTTAATTTGCTTGTGTCAGATTTCCCTTCTTTAGATTTATACCCTTAAATATTTGAAAACATCTTTATAATGTTTGTTTTGTTTTTCGTTTTTTGGGTTTTTTTTTAGAAGGATGTTTCACATGTTTCACTTCATACAAAGCAGTTACTTTGAAAAGAACATTTCCATGCAAAGTAACTTCATGGTCAACTCATGTATCATGTTTAGATGAATCTTTGACATGACTGTTGCTCCAGAATTTTGTAAGGAAAACACAGCCCACATTATGTCAGCATGACACTCTTTTAAATAAACAATATCTCAGCACAAGAAAACACACACATTATAAACTTTATCCATTCATTATTTCAGTCTCATACATCTCTATTTAATAATAATTTAATGCTTATTAAATTTAATCTAAATTATAATACATATACCACTACTAAAAAAGGGTTGAAAGAAATGCAATTAATGCATAGTTTACACATTTTTGCACATTTTTTAATTTATGTACGTCTCATATATGTTTTCTGATAATTTTGCACTTTTGTGTGAAAAGGTAGATCTACTGTATACTTTTGACTGCTGCATCTGAGCTCTGTTAACTAATTAATCTTTGCTGTCCATCACTGTTAAAAGTAATAATCTCTCCGTAACTTTAGCCTAATTTTTCAGATTATCTTGTAAACAGTTTTCCCTGTTTTTCCTCTTGTAAAACTGTGATTAAAGGTTTATTTATGAAAGGCATAAAAAGAACAGTGTTCAATTCTAGCAGCCGATAGGTTTAAGGTCTAGTATTTTGACTCTTCAGGCCTACTATGGGAAACTTTACATAATTGGAAATGATTCCTGATATTTCAATGTCGTTAGGCTATTTCCTTATAGACATGATAATCCCCCACCCAAGCAGACTCTTAGTACCTAAAATGTCAAGTGTAAGAGAAAAAAAACAAAAGAAAAATATTCCATAAAAAGTATAAAATCTGTGCATTCGTTCTAAAATCGTTTATCTTCAAACTATGGATGTTAAGGCAAATACATTGGTCACAAAGATTTTACTGCAATCATTTGAGATACAAAATCTATGAATGAGTTATGCAGTGTAAGTAATGCAGCAATTCCCATCTCATGCATGTTGATAAAATATTTATTCCATTCAGGAAAGCATCTAATATTATAGCATCTACTTAGTACTTTGTATCTTAGTAAATATAACCTATTAGAATTAATATTCATGAAACTTTCTAGTATAGCTTGGTCTTCCTACTTGAGAAAATGCATGAGCATTAAAATTTATAAGAGGAGAAAATAGGGTCAGCAAGGAGAGAAAATTCTGAAAATGAAGCTCTAGAACATGCATATATTCTTGCTTGGGATGAGTACTTCAGCTACTATTTGCTGTGAACCACATAGATGTGGACAGACTCTCAAGCTTTATCCTAAATGATGAACCCAGAAATGTTTCCAAGCTCCTTCTCCTCTCTCTTTTGGGTTTCCACATAGAAAGGTCTTTTGTGAGGCTGTGGCATATCTGAAAATATTTTCAGAAAATGCATCACCTACAAAAAGGCCTCTAGGTGCACACGGAGCCAAGCTACACCTTCTGGAGCTTCCAAGATCTCATCAGACAATAATCATGAATAAAGGCCCACATATGCATCACAGACTTGCATCTCACAACTAGATGGAAATAGTGACAAAAGATATATGAGATCACAATTTCGAGCTTCTGTGAAAGCACTAAAATTAAACAAAGTTTTAGCTAATTCTGTAAATTAACCTACAAGAAATAAGTGAAAATTCATTAATTCTAACATCAATATTCCTGAGCTTACACCATGTAGCAACTGCATTTTTTTAACTGGTTAGTTACACCAGGCTTACAAGTGATCTTGCTGTCCAGTTCACATGAAACGATATATTTTCCTAAATACCAACATTGTTACAATCCAAACCTTCTTAGCAAGTCCTCAGACAACGCTCTGGTAATGCAGGCACTCCTGCTCTCTGTTATGATGTGAGCAGTACAGCACTAATTTCAAGGCCATGTCCAAAATAATTACACGGAATAAAACAGAAGGTCAGGTTGTATAATCAGTGATATACAAAGCTGCTGAAAAATTCAAAGATATTCACTGAATAAATCTAATTTGTTGACAGATCGAAGAAACCAGCCCAGAAACTTCCTCAATTCTTTGACTTCTCTAACGTAGGTGTCTGACAGGTGGAACCTACTGACTAGAAAAATGATAATCCTGCTCTCAGAAATAAAATATTGTCCCTCAGAGAGATATTTGGTATTTCTTAACAAGAGTTTTCTCGTGACCAGTCTTACATCACTCACCACAGTCCAAAATGCTATTTAGGTGGTTTAGTCTATTGAAATTTGGCTTTACTCACATTAATTAGTGAAATTAGGTAATATCAGAAAAGAACTGTTCCTTTCCTTATGTGTCATCTCTATGTGGGGGAGCTGACCGAGGTCACGCTTAGCAAGCCATCTGAACAGTCGTTAAGGTAAAAAGCCCAAAAGGGACGGACTCATTACCTACTTTCTGAAGCCATTCCTGTAGAAATTATTCTATTTTTTCCTTCAGTAGTTGGAGAAAAAACTAAGGCAAATCCAAAAGAACAGTTCCAAAATACATAGGAACAATATTTCAATAAGTTTATATTTCATAGTGAATTTCACTGCCTATTCTCTGCACTCAGATTAGGAAAGTGGCTTCAGCTAAGCCTATCCTGAAGTGAAATCTGTTCCATGTAATATCCTATGCATCTCACATGATTACTTCAACAACCAGTATGTTCAAGTCTAGTTGAAATCAGTTTAATCTATATTGTACTAACACATACCTGTACAGAAAAATACACTAATGTAGAATTCATTGGTTTGTTTTTTTGTGGGTTTTTTAAGTGTGAACTGAAGTAATGCTACAAAACAAATATCCCCTGTTAAAACTGAAGGCTATAAGGTCATCAAGGCATATCCTCCATGGTGTGCATTACACCACAGTTACAGCAGATATATATAGTATCTTTGATAGTATGAGTCTATTCTACTAACTTTGAGACGTCATCATGTGAATTCACAGTAACAAAATATATCCTCAGATGCCACTCATTGATTGTTCTAAAGAGAAAGAGAAGTGTGATATCCAGGTGCTGGCAAAGGGTACTTTAATATTCTCAAAAGGTATATTTAAAATTCACGGACTGCATATGGAATACCTACCTGTAACAATTATCCCACCAGCATGTTCTCATTTATAGAAGACCATTTCCAAACTTGTCTGGACAGGACCCTGGAACACCTGATTTAGTTATCAAGTTGGCCATGCAAGGATTAGATGACCTCCAAAGATCACTTCCAACCTAAGTTATGCTATAATTCTATTATTTTTCAACACTAAATGTTATTTGGTGTTACAGTACATAGGGTTTTCATTATTTTGGTACCTATAAATTGACAGAGAGCTCCTACAATAGAAGGGAACATAGGATGAAGGATGAAGATTTACCACCTTGCTCAGTCTATCCCTAGACAATCTGGACAGAATTTTAACCCTGACAATAGTTCTAGTGACAGCTCCACACTTGCCTGAAGTTT